GAGCGAGAGAGAGTTCAAAACTTCTGCTTTTCTTTATGCTGCCTCAGGCCAATGTTGTGCAGTGTTGGGAATTTTTCCACACATGCTTGCTACCACTGTTTTTGAATGTTATCGCATGCATGTAAAAATTATTTTACTGGTTTTAACACATTTTGATAGAATAAAATGGACACAAGATTTTTGTCTGGGAGAAAAGAGCAGACAAAAAGTGAGGACAGTGAGCAGAAGTGAAAAAGCGATCAGGGTTTTAATTACTGATTCTCTGGCTTTGTTAACTCAATCAAATCTGTTGACTGATTTTCTGTAACAGACATTCTGCCAGCATGTTCAGAAGTCTTTCAAATGATAGATTCATTGAGCAGAAGGAGTTTTTTAAACATCTCTTATAGGCACTACACTAGTCAAAGTCACCTTGCACTGGCCTGTGTGTCACAGAAAGGGTGCTGGCTGGACAACACTAAGTCATGCTTTAAAGGTGTTAAGTTGTACACCTCTGTTTCACTGCAAGACGCAACTTTATTCTTGAATCAAATCCAACATGTAAAGATGTTTGAGGTGGGTTCTTCCTTTTCCCCTAACAATCAGTTGGTACTTTTAGAAGATTTTATGATTTTTTTACACCTTGCTAATACTGGCGTGAATTTTCCGTCAGAACTGTTTTAATTCTTCATTATAGATTCAATGAGGTGCTGGAAAACACTTTAGAGATTTTGTCTCTAATTATGTGATGACATTACAAAGTTGCTGCATATTTGTCAGCTGCACATCAATAATATGAATCTCCTTTTCCACTCCCAGATGTGCTGTATTGCATTGAGATCTGGTGACTGTGGAGTACAGGAAGCAGCCATCAGAAGATGGGTACACTGTAGTCACAAAGGCCCCTTCTGAGCCTGGCTCTGCTGGAGGTTTCCTCCTGTTAAAAGGGAAAAAAGGGTCTGAACTGTTGATGCAAGGCAGGATGGCTCTATGCTTTCATGTTGTTTACATCAGCGGTCCCCAACCTTTTTTGCGCCACAGACCGGTTTAATGTCAGACAATATTTTCACGGACTAGCCTTTAAGGTGTTGCAGATAAATACAACAAAATAAAATGATACGACCAAGAAAAAACCTGTGGTATTTTGTAAATATAATAATAAACACGAATTCACTGTGTAATTGTGTAACTTCATTAGCAGCGTCCTCCTGAAATGTGCCAACAACAATGAGAGTAACATCCTCCTGTCTGCCCCTTAATGCGCTCTGGTCACTATGATAATGCGTAAATATTTCTTGCAAAATAAGACACACAACTACAACACGGGAAAAGACCCAGGGAAACTGAGTTAACGATAAAACCCCTGAAAAACATACATTTCACAACCGAGCCTCAACTCTCGTGGCCCGGTACCAAACGACTCACGGACCGGTACTGCTCCATGGCCCGGGGGTTGGGGACCACTGATTTACACCAAATTCTGACCTACCACACAAATATTACACCAGAAATCAAGACTCATTAGACGAGGCAATGCTTTTCAATCTTCTATTATCCAGTTTTGGTCAGCCTGTGTGAATTATAGCCTCAATTTCCTGTTTTTAGCTGACAGGAGTGGCACCCAGCTTGCTCTTCTGCTGTTACTGAGATGCTCTTCTGCGCTGGTTTTAACAAGTGTTATTTAAGTTACCTGTTATTTAAGCAGTCTAGCCATTCTCCTCCAACATATCCAAGGCAATTTCTCCCACAGAACTGCTGTTCACTGGGTAGGTTCTCTCTTTCAGATCATTCCCTGTAAACTCTGGAGATAGCTGTGTGGGGAAAATTCCAGCAGATCAGTAGTTTCTGAAATACTCAGACCAACAACCATGACACGGTCAAAGTCACCTAAATCACCAAAATCACTTAACATTGTATCCTTGAAAATCTGTTACAATCTCTTGGTGGCTTAAAAATCACATCAGTTCAACTCAGACAACACCTATCTCAAGCTGATTGACCTCTGACCTGAGATGCTGAACAATAACTCTCTAGTTGTGATCGTTTCCCCAGCGCTACGATGAAACGCTTTAGAAAACGAGCTCCTCATTTGTGTTTCCCACAAGGGCTGGAGGCAATAATTGCCAATTAGCTTGTCGTAACTCCTCTAACAGATGTAAACAAAGCAATCAGTGATCACGTTTTCCTCTCACTGCACTCTTAAAAATTATGTAAAGCTTTTGATTCTTTCCCCAACAGAAAAGATGTAATCTGGTGTGAAAAACATGCCATGTTTAGAAGTAGCCAAGCTTGAGTCAGACTAGCAGACGTGTCGAGAATGACTCACGGTCTTTTTAAGAGTGCAAAAGCGGTATGGTTGCAAGATGTTTGGGGGCACTGTAGCTCCAGACAGGCCTCCAATATGTTCTTCCCTTGTTTTTCTCACAGTAAAAGAGGATTTGTGACATCTGGAAGTGCTCAGGAGGCAGGAGCTCGAATCCCCCCGCTCTTGTCCTTTCTCAGGGCACAAACATCAAAGGAGGCGGCAGATAATGTTTTCTAACCCGCCAGGAGTTAGCCACCACCGGTCTGCAGTCTAATTTGGATGAAATGTCTCCAGGACAGGTGTGAAAAAGATGACTTACCAAACAAAAACTGTGTACAGTATGTTTGACAACATGCTGTACACAGTGATATTACTGGTACTTTAAATGTACTTATGTCCTATCTTGTTTTAAAAATACATAAAGACCTGTAAAAAATACCTATAACAGAATTTAAAGAAAGCACTGAGACGTCTTTATGTCTAAAACATCTACATGCTGCAAATTAGTGCCGGGCTGCACTTTTATGCAATACCAATTTCTGCCACATGGTGGCGCAGCGATTTACCGTTGTATTTATTTAATCAGGCAAGTCGCTGGAAGGCTAAAGAAAACATCAACTGGTCGTACTATGGAAGATTTGTTTGGGCACTGGAAAAAAAGTCATCCATTGCTCAGAATTTCGAATTAATGAGTCAAAATTTCGACTTATTGCCACCAATCAGATGAATAAATGTATATTATTTCCTTGTTACCTGAAAGCAGAAGGCGGAAGGCATCAGCTGTTCAACAGTTTAGCATTCAATACATCTCGACAAACATGCTGGTAAAATGCTGCCCCCTGGTGGATGTTAATTTCTTTTGCCATAAGCATTAAAATATTGAAAACACCTGTTTGGGCACATTGTGACTTTAAATGTATTTTTCGAGTTTCTTTGTCTGTTTTCTTCTTTAAATTGATGTCACACAAATGAGGCAGGATAAACAGGAAATAACAGGCAGAAAGACCTCAACAAATTTCCTCTTAAAGCAGGTTTTGTGTTGAAGGAACGTTGTTGGGTTGAATCTCAGCAACCATTTTTAAAAGGTTACTAAGTTAAATGTAATACTTCACTGCTGCAGCACCATATATCAAATAATACGTCCTTTCTCCATCTACACAGAGACACAAATTATACAGTTTTTACAATGTTTCTGCTACAAACATCTAGCTCTGTGAGTCTGAAAGCTAAAGATCTGAGATTCTCTCACAGAGCTGAAGTCTCAATGAAAGGGGGACTGCAGAACACCTGCTGCTCCTCTCAGCTCTTTGATTTAGTGGAAAGGTATGTCGTTCTGTCTCCACGGCCTCCAGCACCTGATATTTACTCTAAACTCAGGAGGGCGACCTTCTATGTTTCTGCTCTCTGGGTTCATGCTTCCCCCCCCGCGGCGAAATCATCTCAGTCACAAACCGTTTTTAGTCACATGAAGAGATAATGAACAGAGGCTTTCCAGTGGCTGCTGGTCAGAAGGGCTTTCCTATCATGTGGCACACCAGAAGAAGAAGTTGAAGGCTTTTCCCACATAATTCAATCCCTTTCATCTGATATGTGTTTATGGGAAAGAGAATGAAGAAAATACTAAGTAAAAAGAGCATCCGAGAGAGTCTAGGGGTTTCAGAATAACGTAATTCAGTGCATGAGCTCCACATCCACAGATGCAAAGGTAAAACTCAAAACAAACAAAGAAAGAAAAGAAAAAGAATCCAGGAAAGTCACCAACTTCTCTGAGTTTTTCCTACATTCAAATAAAGAGCCTTCCAACAAAGGAAAATCACCAGCAATGATTACGATTTTCTTTTTCTTAGATTTTATTTAAAACAATTATTTACACAATTTGTATTTTACTCAGGCATAAAATACAAATTTTTGTATTTTTATTTATTTTTTTAAATCAGCTGGTTTAGTTAGTTACATTGTGACTACTTTGCTTGCCATAAGACTGTCCGCCATAAATTTCATGAAACTACTTTCTAAGATGTAGAGGAACTGTGACGTGTCTGACGCCTATGAAGTAAAAGTTCCACCTTTTGAAAGTTGTTGATTTCACACTTTTTCAAGATGCAATTAGTTCAAAATCCGAATAAATAGCATTTTCTCGGTATGCAACAATAGACCAGGCTTTCCTTACAGACAGCATGGTGATACAGCTTATCCAATGAAGTTCGTTGGTGACCAAAACTTTTTCTGGTACTTCTGACAATCCTGTTCAGAACTGCCTGTTTGTTCCTAATCGCCACAGTCAGGTTACCATAAGAGACTGGGATTTTAAATGCTTTCAGTCAAGCTCAGTTAAACTCTTTCCAAAACGTTGTGGGTAACTCCAGAGCCTCTAAACGTCCTGATAAGAAATAATCTCTGATTCGTTTTCTTGTTGAAGGAATCAGTGTTATCCATAATCTGTGGCATCTACCAGCAAACTCCAAAACTTTGGAAATACAAATTTTTCCCTAGCGACCAAACGTTGCTAAGAGGTTGCCAAACTGTCTCTAGACCTGCATGACTTGTCTTAGCTAACATTGAGTTGTTAGCTGTAAACTCTATGCAGACTAGGATTGCTTTGGTATGCAAGTCAACCCCAAAGACCCACTCTGAGCCAGGAAACCCCTTATTTAGGTGGACTGAGCTGATTGCTGTGAAGTGGGAAACTAATAAGACGAGAGGGATGATCTGACTTGTCATCAGGTCACGCTTCAAAGCCACCGTCCAAGTTGGTACGTGGGTGTGTCATTAGCGCGCATGCCAGACGTAACTTGCACATCTGCGAAGGCACCATTAAAGCTGACCGACATTTATCCAGGTTTGAAGCAGTATGCGCCGTCATCCTGACGTTTTGTTTTTTTAACAGAAGGTCTTCCTTAGTCCAGCATATTTCCTGCCAAACTGGCCTTCATGCAGTCCAGACTCAGGGAACAATGTAAACATTGCAAAACAAGAAACATGACAAAACAGGTCCTAAAATCTGATATCAATTAAGAATGAGAAACATTTTGGGGCTCTCATGTGCCCCCTGTGCCAACAGTTGTGAAGCATTTGCTTGGA